ACCCCCATGAGGGGTTCCATCAGTAATTTTGCCTTGTTCTAGCAGCCACCTGGTATCTGCAGGGCTAGGGGAGGACAGGAGTCAGACTGTTCTCACAAATCTGGGGTTCCGGGGCCACAGTCACCCAGCAGTGAATCCCGTTCTGAGAGCCTCCTGGTGCTCTGTGTCATGCTTTGGGGCACAGGGTAACCTCTGAGGCCCATTACAGCCTCTCTGAATGCACAGCCTTTGTCCACTCTTAGCACCACCTCCTCAACCTTCCCCACTTCCATCCCCCACCTCACTAGAAAGGAAAGAGCCCGGCACCTGGACGACATCCTCAGTGCCACAGGAGGGAAATGTCACAGCCCTATTCTGGGCTGGGAGTGAAGAGGAATCCTCTGTTTGAAACAGAGAATTTGGGTCTGCAACAGGAGTGAACAGTTTGATGACCATTTGAACTTCACCTGACCTTGTCCCCTGATTCATCCGTTCAGCTGTTGGGATCTGCCAACTGGCTATGCTCTTCTGGGTCTTTGACCGGTAACCTTTCATACACAGTTAGCAGTACTGGCCCTGAAATGGGGACATCTGGCCAGGGCCATAGGCACTAGTATCTGTTTAGGTTCCATTCAGCCATCAGTTCCATGTAGTTTCTCATTCTCTGTTTCAGCTCAAACCCAGTCTTCCCCAAATATTTTTTCAACACTTACTGTATGGAAAACACTTGGCCAAGCTCTATTGTGAGCAGAGCTGATGACCAGGCACTTGGTAGGCAGCTGGCACTTTGTAAAGACTTGGCAAATTGAGTCCCAGGAGTTCTGGAGTTTACATGGTCAGGAAAAGAAAATGTAACCATGCTGGGTCAAGAGACAGGTGTTGTCTTTCTCAGAGGTCTCAGAGTGAAAAGAAAGGAAAATCTGAACCCCTTTGTGCCTGCCGTAAGCCTGCCTCTCCCTTTACATAAGTGACAGCCTGGAAAGGTAGGCATCTTCCAGGCTCTCTTTTTCCTGTTGGAACCTAGGGATTTATTTATTCAGTGATCATTTCTTGAGCACCTTCTATGCACCACACATTGTGCTGGTACTGGGATAATGAAGCCTACCTCCCTCACCAACCTCATGGGAAGCTGCACGGACTGAGTGAGGCAAAGGAAGGGCTCTGTGAAACGTACAGCACTGCCTGCTGCCGCCTAGGGGCCTGGGGAGCTTGCCAGCCCCTTGCACATCCCACCTAGAGGCTCCCCTAAGGTGAGCCGTGTCCTTGACCCATCATCACACCCACATCTCTCTTTCTGTTACTGGCCAACCAGGCTTTCCTTGACTTGGAATAAATGGCTTCCTGGCTTCTCCCCACGCAGGCTGTTTCTGGGCCAGGGTTTGTTTGAGGCCCTGTTTGGATATTGTTAAAAGTGGGCAGCTTTGCTCAGAAAGGTCAGCATGAGAGACGAGAACAAAGAGATCTTTCAAGCTGGCCTCTGGCAGGGCAGCCAGGAATGGCTCGGAAAAGCCCCAGCTCCACCTGGCACTGGCAGCTTCAGAGCTGTGACGTGATTGCTCAGGCTCATGGCCATCTGCAGAGCCCTGGAGAAGCCCCATCGTGTGCCTTCTCATTTCTCAGAGGGGTAAGCTGAGGCAGAGGGGCATTCCCAGGTCAGTGTTAGCTGGGACCCCGGATCTCTCCCTGTACAGCCCTGGACACTGGGATCTCTGTATTTTTTTTTTTTTTTTCTTGAAGGGCATTCAATAAAAATTGGGATTTACCCAAAACATCCCTGAAGGTGATTATTTGGTTTGCTAAAGAATTCCTGGGAGCTTGTATACCAGAATCCCTTACAGATTTGAAAGTAGTAAAAAGACACAACTTTTAGACACAGAATCCTAAAATGCATAAGATGCAATGCTGATGTGCGGATTCCTTGAGAGAGAGAGAGTGTGTGTGTGTGTGTGTGTGTGTGTGTGTTTTGGAGGGGAGTCTGCGTTTCTCCCAAGCTTCCAGGTAATGCCAGTCTGCTGGTGCAAGAGCGTTGATGATGTAAAGGCTAAAGGCTGAGCTCATTCGGCAATGCAGAGAGAGGACAGTCCTTGCGGTGGAGTGGGAAGAAGGGGCCACAGTCATTCTTGGCTTTGGCCTCTTGGTAGCAGGTCCCAGGACCTGCCAGCCTCCTCTGGGCCACAGGGCCCTAGGCAGCCCGGGAGTCCAGCCCTCTTCAGCCTGCTGCTGTTGGGCCCAGCTGCCAGGGTTGTCTTAGACTGATATCCCAGAATCAGCCAGTTCTTTTCTCTTCCGGGAGCTCATGAGGTCTGTCTTTTTACTCAGTTTACTGCAGTCTGTCTTTTCCCTGTCTTCTGTTGGTGGCTGGTGCTGGGCTGTCCCCTAAGCTGGCCTGGCCTATGGGACCCTTCAGCTTTGTGACCACCTTCCTCCTACCAGCCCCCAGCCCCACAGAGGACAGAAGAACAGGCTTCCTGGTAGATAAACCAGGCCCAAGGACAGGCCCGGGCCCCCCACAGGAAGCTTCTTTGGTTCCACTGGGGCCTCTGTCTCGGGAAATAACCCAGAGCTGGGGAGCAGGCCATAGGCCCAGAGGTTGGGACTACAGGCACGGGCACCACCACAACCCAGCTAATTTTTGTAGTTTTAGTAGAGATGGGGTTTTTACCATGTTGGCCAGGCTTGTCTCGAACTACTGACCTCAAGTGATCTGCCAGCCTCAGCCTCCCAAAGTGCTGGGATTATAGGCGTGAGCCATCACACCTGGCCCACCCCAGAGTCCTTAATTCAGCAGGTCTGGGTGGGGGTCTCAGAATTTGCATTTCTAACAAGTCCCTGGGATACCGATGCTACTAGTCCAAGTACCACATTTTGAGGCTCTCTTGTCTGAATTATCATTTCTGTCCAGGTGTGGTAGTGGCTCATGCCTGTAATCCCAGCACTTTGGGAGGCTGAAGTGGGAGGATCACTTTAGTCCAGGAGTTCAAGACCAGGCTGGGCAACATAGCGAGACCTCATCTCTGCAAATAAATAAAATAAATTATCATTTCTTGGAGTGTGGGACGAGTACTTCTAGTGACATACAATGTGGTTTTAAGTGATGTGCACACTAACTTTTAAAAAATACTTCTGTTATTATTAAGGGAAGGTGAGTTATCTACTCACCTTAAAAGAAGAAAAAAGATATAAGGAAAAGTATGACATAAATAATAGTACTGGTGATAGGCAGCTAGTAGTAAACATGGTGAATGAGGTATGCAGTCTACAGAAGTCTGGGAGACACTGAGCTAAGTGAAGTCCTCATTTTACAGACCGTACCCAGACTTGATGGTCTCTAAGGAGGCTGAGGTTCCCTGTCCTGCTTGCCACTCCCAGGTCTTCAGAGCACTTGGCAGGCTAGGGAAGGTCATCGTGACTCTGATCCTACCCCAAGAGTCTCCATTCTCAACTCTGAAGACAAGGGTCTGTGTTGGTAATGTTGGTAGTTTGCATGGTTTTTGCTTGCATGTCCTGAGGCCAGAGCTTTCCAGAAGGCGAGGGACTTGATCTGCAAATGTGTCCTTTCATGGCTGCCAGGCCCCAAAGCCCCCAGGAGCCTGTTTTGTGCATGAAATTGAAGCAAGGGCTTATGTAACTTTCCTGGCTGCCAGTTTGGGCTGTTCACCCTCTGTAATCTTAATTTTTCTAAATTCGCTGCCCAGCACCCTCTGCTTTCCGTTGTGTGGTGTGATCCAGGGAACCCCCTGAGCGGATAAGCAGGGCAGCCCTCGCACTTTCCTGAGCATGTGCTATGTGGCAGGAGCTGCTGGGCGGAGCTTTAGGAATGTGGGAGTGATGTGCCTGGCCCTCAGGAGGCCACAGTGTGCAGTGGTCAGACCTGCAGGTGGAAAATGACCTTGAGAGGTTTTACTTGCTTCACAAGAGGAATTAACAGGCAGGGCAACATGGGGAGGGGTCTGGGGAGGCTTCGTGGAGGAGGTGACGTTGGAACTTGCTTTTGAAGGATGAAGTGGGGAAAGGCTGTGTAAGGCAGTGGAAGAAGCCAGTGCCGAGACTTGATATAGGGGATTGCGGTCGTTCAGACAGGACTTGCCCGAGTGCTGGGGGCTGAGGTGGGAGAAAGGTGAGGGGCAGACCCTACAGCCTCAGACGCTATGCTGAGGACCTAGACTGGATTCTGTGAGCCCTGGGACCACTATAGGGCTGGATTTGAGAGAATCCAGGTGACCTTCCTGCATCCACTAAACCCCCAAGGCGCAGTGGGAGCAGTTTTTCACATTGCAGGCCACAACCTGTTAGTGGGAATGCAAGATCTATTTAGTGGGCTGCAGCCAGCATGTTACAAAACGGAGGTAGAGGGAGAAGGAAAATGGAAAACCTCAGTGTTGATTGCACATCGGAGAGATGGGTATTGTGTCGAGAAACTTCGGTTTTATGTCAGGGAAGTGTGTGTGGATACTGGGTTGCAATGTGAGATGTATTTCTCACTATGGCTCACACTTTTAAAAGCTTTAAAACTATTGCAAGGCACAGAAGGCTGACTGGAAGTGGTGAGACTGGCTGGTGTGGTCATCAAGGCTCAAGGTGAGGCAGGCCAGCCTGGGGTCATGGTACTAGGGACAGAGAGGGGAGGATGGAATCCAGCATTGACCAGATACAGCAAGTGAAGCTGGAAAATTTGAGGCTGACTCAGGTCAGAAAGTCACCAGCCCAAGGCTCCTGGGCCAAGGTCACACCTTGTTTGAGATACTCAATCTTGGTACCCCTTTGGTGGTAAACTGGAAGCCCAAGTTGCTGGGGGGAAAGAGGGGAAGGGACTAGGGGAAAAGGGATCCTCCTTCCTTTTTGTTGATGTCCTGGGCCTCTAAAGTCCTGGTGTTACAACTCTAACTTTTTACTCCAGTTATCGAATGTGTTCAAATAAAACTCTAGCAGGCAGCTCCTCCTGGGATCTGCTGGTATGCTGAGAGCATCCTTCTTTGCGAGCTAGGCTGGTAACAACTCTACTTCTGCCATCCTCCCACCAGGAACATCGTGAAGGGCATGAGAGAGCTCCGGGAGGTGCTGCGGACTGTGGAGACCAAAGCAACTCAGAACTTCAAAGTGGTAATGTGGGGTGCCGGCGGTGCTGGCTTATTCAGGAGTCAGTTTTGGTGGGAGACAACAGAAGTCCTTGCAGGGAACCTCTGAAGCAGGGGTGGCAGTAGGTCTCCTGCCTGCTCATGGCAGAGGTTGGTAATCAATCTCAGCATCCTTTCCCACGCAGCCAGGGAGGTGCAGCCTCCTTCTCCCTGTAGCACCGCAGATAGCCCCTCATGTTAAATCAGATTTCAGATCTACTGCTAGCCCTTCCCTGGGCAAACTGTGTTGACAAACTTGCTACCACCACTAGCAAGGCGCTATGTGAACTTTTAGGGATTTGTTTGCGATCCTAATAAATAACAGTGACCCTGCTTGCCTACCCCAACACAGGCCTGCCCTCCTAGGCCTTAGTTCGTCCAAACCAGAGCCACAGCTGCTTCTCATGCTCTAATTCTCAGTCAAATAATCAGAAGGGCACCTGGGAGAGAGAGCTGCTGTGCCTGTGGCATTATGCTTTTCCCAACACTGCAAGGGCCTGCTGATTACTCAGAGTGGGGCTGGGCTCCAAGGGGTCAGGAGAGGGAGAAAATACTCCTCTTGTCTAGGAGAGGAGAGAAGAGAAAAGATGAGGTAGGAGCCGTCTGAGGCCAGCAGAGGGGTGGGAGCCCCAGTGTTGGAGGGACTGAAGGAGCAAGAGAGCTCCCTTGGGAGTGGGGTTTGGGGCCTACCCAAAGGGCCGCACATTGCAAGGGGAGCAGATTTAGCTGGGTGATGGGCAGAGGGCATTCTAGGTCATGCTGGGGTAGAGCTGACCACTGTGTCTGGGTCTGAGTGCTTCCCTCTCTGCCAGATGGCGGCCAAGCACCTGGCGGGGGTCCTGCTGCACTCCCTGAGTGAGGAGTGCTACTGGAGCCCCCTGTCCCACCCTCTGCCCGAATTCATGGGCAAGGAGGAGAATTCTTTCGCCACGCAGGCCCTGCGGAAACCTCACCTCTATGAAGGAGACAAGTAAGTTCTGCCTGCCCTGCTGCACCTCACCAGTCTCACATCTCGCGCAGGGTTCTGTCCCCACTGGTGGCTTTCTCTTCGCCCCATGCTCTCCTCCAGTCTCCACTCAGCACACTGCCAGGCAGCCTCCTCAGTCTCAGCAGGAGCCAGATCAGCTAGAGAAGGCAGGTGTTGGGCTTCAGGTTGTGGAGATAATCCTATAAGGCACTCGGAGGCCAAAGAAATCATTTGGAGGTGACCTGTCTTCCCAGTAGTCCTGTCTGGTACACCTGTCTCACTTATGCCGTTCCTCCAAGGTGGGGTCGCTCGTTGCCCCAGCCATTCCCTGCGGTGCTGGTGCAGGGAGGAAAGTTTCCTCCCCAGGAGCGTCCGTACTATTCCAGCCCAGCGGCCACCGCCCGCTGCGGCCTTTCAGATCCAAAACTCTGAGGCATATGGTATCTGGTGCCCATGAATTATGCAGGAAGGGGTCACCTTACCGGGCTGGTGCTGACTCCAGGGCAGAAGGCTGGCATGGTGGGTCAGTGGTGCTGTCTGGTGAGGTGCGTGCTCTAGCCAGGCCTGTCATTGGTGTCTTTCAGCCTCTACTGCCCCAAGGACAACATCGAGGAAGCCCTCCTGCTCCTCCTCATCAGCGAGTCCATGGTAAGCTCCAGGATGTCCTTCAGCGGCCTCTGGCCCTCTGACCCTGTGGGGAAGGGCTGTGGGGTCCAGGTACAGGCCAGCCGTAACCTACCCAAACTCTGTTGCCCAGGGATACTCCTAAAGTAGATGCTTCTTGGCCCTGGGCCCCCATACGGCAAGTCTTGCTCATTAGGTTTGGGACTGGCTATAGAAGGCTTCATTTGGAGGCCTGCATTCTGCCGCCGAACAAGTAGAGACTGAGTACCTGGAGCCACACCTACCTCTTTTGGGATTAAAAAAATGATCATCAGCAAGGTCACAGTAAAATGTTACATAGCTGTGTGCTGGGTGCTGTGACAGACATGAGAACATGGCAGGTAGGGAATGGAAGGAATGTGCACTTTGGAGTCAGAAAGCCTAGAATCAGGTTCCAGTTCTGCATGTTAGCTGAGGGCTGGGGCACATCACTTATTTTCTCTGAGCCTCCGTTTTCTCCCCTGTAAGATAACAGTACTCACAAAGGTAAGCATGCCTATGGAAGGAGTTCATTTATTCACGCAACAGCTATTTATTGAGCATCTACTTTGTGCCTACTCTAGATGCCAGAGACACCGCAGCAAACAAATGGAGAAAAGTCGTTTCACTCATGAGCTTACATTCTAGTGAAGAGAAGCAGGCAGTAAATTAATCAAAAACTACAATATGCAGGGTGTCCACGCATGAGTGCTAAGGGAAAAGAACACAGAGCAGAAAACGAATTGTGCTAGACAAAGCACACATGAAGTTGGCTGTTTAGACTTTTCTATAGGACCCATTGCTCATGTCCTAGGCAGGAAGATGAGGCAAACGCACGCATGTGGATGCACGCACACACTCATGCATGCGCACATATGGTGGCCATGGTACCAAGGAATGTTTGCCCAGGGCTAAGCACTTTGGAGGCTCAGCATAAGGAGAGTGCAGTGTGGCTGTGTGGTTGAGAAGGTGGTAAGATGAAGGATGGACTGGACTCATCCAAAGAGGCCACAGGAAGAGTGGGACAGGAGCAGCAGAAGCCAAGCACAGAGAAGTCGTCTACATGGTCAGGTCCAAGTCCTCCAACCAAGGGGCCCATCAGAGCTGGTGAGCTGGGAACCACCGGGTTGAGAAATTGGTTTTTAAAAAAACAATGCATCTGAGAGCAGTGTATGGATGCAGAGGTTGAGAAACCAAGACCCCATGAGCAGGATCCCTGAACAGCCAGAAATGAATGTTCCCTTGGATGTCTGGGACCTTGCGATGCCAGGGCTTGCTTAGATAGTGTTGGTAATCAGATTACCTCTGGTGCCTCAGGCCTCCCAGCAAATAGGAGCAGGCACTGGGCTGTGGGACAGGGGGATTGCATCCTGCCTCAGCTGGGGCTGGTCCGTGTTGGATCTGAGAGTTTCTGTGTAGGGTGTGGATATTTGGATGGGAATGCCAGCTGGCCAGGGTGTTGTCCTAAAATGTTTGCCTGTGAGGTGGGTAAGTGGTTGCCCAGGAGAGGGGCCATCTCACTGGTTAGCAGCTGTGGAGATAAGAGGCACCATGTGCCACATCTGATTTTCATGGGAGAACAGTGTGCTTTTTACTTTTAAAAATGGGCCCTTACTCTGACCACAGACTGAATCCTGTACAGACCAGTACTCCCATCCCCTCTCCACCATTTTACCACATCCACCCTCCAGTGAGACTGCACTGGAATCACCTGTCTGGAAACATGGGTTTTTTTATGGTTTTTTTTTGTTTTGTTTTGTTTTGTTTTGTTTTGAGACAGTCTCCCTCTGTTGTTTAGGCTGGAGTGCAGTGGAGCAATCCTGGCTCACTGCAACCTCTGCCTCCCAGGTTCAAGTGATTCTTCTGTCTCAGCCTCCAGAGTAGCTTGGATTACAGGTGTTCGCCACCACTCCTGGCTGATTTTTATGTTTTTAGTAGAGACGGGGTTTCACCATGTTGACCAGGCCGGTCTCGATCTCTTGACCTCAGGTGATCCACTCGCCTCAGCTCCCAAAGTACTGGGATTACAGGCGTGAGCCACTGCACCCAGCCTAAACACCGGTTATTTTGTAGCCTTTGTGTACTGAGGCTTCCAGTGCAGTTTACAGGTAGGTGGTGAAAGGCTGAAAACAGGGTCATCTGTTAGGTCCTTTCTCAGCCAGGGAGGTTCCAAGCTGATTAGGTGAGCATTATGTTCACCTAATTGAAATTGCCTAATTTTCAATTGTTTATGACCTACAAAAACAACAGTTTCATAAAAGTTCACTCTAATACTATATGTTCCCATCTTACAGATGACAAAAGTGAGGTCCAGGACAGGTATGGCTGTTAGTCAAGGTCGTATACTAATAAGCCTTGAAGCCATGACTCGAACATGTCCTTCTCCCTCAGCAGTTTCCAGGCCCCAGGATGCAGGGCTCCTGGACTTCCATCCTGGTGCTTCCCTTGCCCACTACTCTGATCCTTGGTCTTCTCAAGTGTAAGGCCAGGGAGGTGACTGTGGGGATCAGAGGGCTTTGTAAAAGGGACAAGCCTGTCAGGGTAAGGATGGTCATAATTTTTCTCCTGGTAGGGAGTGAGGCTGGGCTCTGTCTTCCCAAGTCATTTTCTATAGCCTCTGCTTGATCGAAGTCCTCAGGACAGAGTTCAGATGCCTTTCAGTTAAGGCTGTCCACCCACTCCCAAACCCTCCAAGCAGAGAATGGCCTTTCACAGAAACATGGCCCATGCTTGGAGCCAGGTGGGTTTTCCTGAGTATGCGTTCTCTTTCAAGCAGCTCTTTCCCTTTTGCAAGACAGTGTGGCTGGCAGCCTGCCTCAGAGACTAGGGGTTAGGGGGTGGGTGAGTCTTGGTTGGCTGGCCAGGCGGTGTCCTGGGAGATTCCCTGTGGCGCAGGAAACAGGCACTGCCCAGACACTGTTTGCACTGAGGCTGGGAGGAGGCGCCTCTTGTGGGGCTGGCTGGTTTGTTTCCCCTTATACCCAGCCTGTTAGACATTCAGAAACTTGAGGGATTTGGGGGAGAGTGTTGGCAATGTACTTAGCTTTAGTGTTTCGTCTGCGGTGACCTTTTACCCGGGTGCTGGATCTGGCCTGTGGCCGGGAATGGTTTCTCCAAGTGGCCAGACCTGCCATTTCTCCTGCCTTTGTTTTAAATTCTCCCTCCCTCCAGTCTCATTCTTGAACAGTGAGAGGACTAGGGTATGGGTTCCACTCTACCACCTTCCCGAGCTCCTGCCCTGATACCACTCAGCTGAACACCAAGCCTCCATGTACCTGTAGGGTTTTCCTCATCCCCCTTTGATGTTGGCTGGGTTTGGCTGCAAATGATGGGCTTGGAGAGAAACCTCTAGAACAGCAGCTGTTGGCCTTGGCTGCTATTTAGGTTCTCCTATTACCTGCAGAATGTGTTATGCTGCAGTGAAAGCTTTTCCCGCAGAGCCAACCCAGGAGGCATCATCATCATTGCTTCCACCTCCAGGACATCCAGAGCAGCTGCTGCAGGAAACAGTGTTTGCAGGCTTCCTTATTTTGTGGTCTGGAACTCAGAGGAGTGGCTGTGTGGTATGGGGCTGCTACCTTGGATATAGTTTTTATTACAAGCTGACTATGTGCGATCAGAATGAATGAGGGAGACCTTGTCTTTCCAGAGGTAAATAGAAACCTTACTAATGCTTTCACAGGAATGGAAGGAGGATATGAAATATAACTGGTTGAAGATGATTTGTGTTTTAGACCTAGTTTTGAGTCTTTGGGGCCAAAATGGCATTTAAAAATCCACCTACTTATCATTGATTCATTCATATATCCATTATCTACCCACTTTCCCATTTATGCTTCTGGCCATCTACCCTCCCATCATTTCTCCATCCACCCATCCTCCTACCCACCATTCATTCATCCACTTATTAATCCATTCATCTATCATCCATCCATCCACCCATTAATCCATTCATCCACCATCCATCCATCCACCCATTCATTCATCCATCTACCCACCCACCACCAACCATGCATCCCCCTACCCATTCATCCATGTATCCATCCACCTCCCATTCATCCAACCACCCTTTCATCCATCCATCTACCCACCATTCATGTATCCACCTATTCATCCACCTATCATTCATCCATCCACCCATCTTTCCATCCATCCCCCATTCATCCATCCAGCCACCTACCAACCCTGCATCCACCTACCATTCATCTGTCTATCCATCCACCATGTATCCATCCATTCATTTACTCATCTATCCATCCACCTACCATCCATCCATCTAATCTAGTTCGAGCAGCTACAGCATGCAGGACCATGCTCAGCATTGTAAAGACAATGATTAATAGTTCAATCATAGTTCCTGTCCCAAATGGACTCCCATCTACTGCAGTTTGTTCCCAAGGATGTGGAGGAAATCCTGGTCCCCAAATCAGAAGGAATGATCCCAGTCTGCTGAACCTCAAATGTAAATTCTTGTTTTTGAAAGAACAGTGTATCAAACCAGCCTGATTTTCTGAAACAGTTGGGGAACTAGGAGATACAGGAATCTTTATTATTTCTAAAATACTGATCTGGGACATAAAAATATGTGCTAAAGTAAACTGAACCCTTGGAGCCCTGTTTCTTTTTGCTAGCGAACAAGTTGCTGCTCTTAGAAATGGAAAGGGTACAGAGCCCTGGTGTTGAGAGAGTGGGGTGGACAGGTAAGACTCTGAGTCCTGGGACTCTGCAGATTAACAGACTTTGTGCCATGCCCAATGCTGGACATCTGGTAAATCTTGAATTTACCATTCACAATCTATGTGGCCTGGGTGAGCTTCTTACCACCCTGAGCCTCGGTTTTCTCATCTGTAAAATGGAGCTAATAAGGTCTCTCTTGTATGACTTTGGTGGATTAAATAAGAAAATGAACGTGAAGGTGCCTGGTACATTTTGGTTCTTCAATATGTGCTCATTTTGTCCTGATAAATACTTGATTCTGACTTAGTCATTTTTGAAAACATTTATGT